AACCCTCAGTACCCCTTAAAAACACTAAAATGGTCATTTGGTAAATAGAATCTGTATTGAAAAAATAGTGATAGGATATTTGAAGACAAAAAAAATCAGTTGATCTCCAGCATGAGAAAAAAACATTTATGAACAAAATAATCTCTAAAAACATTTTTGTGAGACAACAAATCTAACCAGTAGATTTCTTTTAAAAAGTATTTTCAAACAAGAATGCTTCAAAAAAGACCCACCATAGAACGTCTCCTCATACTACGATGCAGTGGCATCCTAACACGAAGAACTAGAAGACAGGTGTAGGAAACAGGGATGGTGCCAGGGGCTCCCAAACGCCAACAGCTGAACCTGGAGGCAGAGGCGGCATCCACGCATTTACTTCGGAGAAGGAAGACAGAATGAGCGGGCTGCACAGGAATTACCGGAAGGTGCAAACTTGGAAAGTGTTAACTGAATCACCATTCTAAAGAGTAATGATCTTCCTCTAAGATCAAGTCATTTTCTCTTTTTTGAAATTTACTATCAAACTATGACAGTAATTTCATTTTTAGAACATGTGGAATCACCTGCATCGCACAAGGGCCATAATTATATCCAGTAGGTATTTTAAAAAAGATCATGAACAGGAACAAAGCAAACACAATACAGGGTCACTTTTTTTTTTTTTCCCAGATGAGCCCTCCTGTCACCTGTTGGGAGCTCAGCTCAGGCCGGGAATCAAACCGCTGTTGCTCAGAGCTCAAACTCTTGAGCGAGCTCTTAACCAACTGAGCCACTCAGCTAGCCTCCCCAAGGGTCACATTTTTCAACAAATACACATGTTGCCCAGGCCTATAGCATTTAAGGAGCACGAATTAAGAACCTTGTTTTGCCTATAGTCTCACCATAAAATGACAGTAACAAAATCTGCCAAGTGCCTAACAGGTACTAGACAGTGTGCTGAGTAGTTTCACATCCAGTATCTCATTTATTCTGATTAGGACTTTTCTCTCAGAGAAGAAAAAATCACAGCTTTGTGGATAAGGAACCAATAACACAAAGTTATGGAGAAGGAAGAATTCATGCATCAGAGGGAAGAGGGATTCAGGCTATTCACGGAATTTTAACAGCCTGGCACATCTCAGACCTAAGACTAGGATGAGTTACGGAAGTCCTCTTAGATGAAAAAAATGCTTCAGCTGTAGGGGTGGGGCACCCCTAATCAGTGAAACTGGTAAGTAAAGGCAGCTCGTACTAAGGAATCACGGACTCCGTTCATCTGTTTCTTTCTCAGTGTTATGCGTTATTTAAGAGCAAGAACCATGTCCTGTTCATTCAGTTTCCCCAGAGCTTAGTGCTGTGTATTGGTTGGATATGATTTCAGATCTACTTGTTTTTGACAAAAATGAAGTTATTTTAAGGGTAAAGTTGTTTTGGTATAAGAGTGAAGATGTGTCATGATGACATCATCTCAACTGTTGTCCCATAAGCACTCAGCAGCACAGCTGCTGCGGGGAGTGCCTGGGGGCTTCTCAATAAAGAACATCTGAAGATGCAGCTACGGGAAGGGGATATTTAGACTACGAGTAGTCTAAATGTTTGTGAAGAGAGTTTATGAGGACTGCTCGAGGGTGCTCTGTCTGGGCAAGGCCACCCTTTCTGATCCGAACAGCTGGCTCTCTGAAGACCTTTGGACCATCAGCTCCTGCTGGGGTCAGCGGTGGCGAAAGCCTGCAGCAGCCCCTCAGAGGAGGACATCTTGCCCACCAACTCTGGTGCCATGGTCCCCTAACAATGTGCTCTAGCAAAAAGGGTTTTTCATTTTTGCGCTGGCAGCTGCAAGTCAGCTCTCCATTAAGCTGTCTCTCCCGAGAACCAGCCTTGTAGAAAAGGCACAACTCAACTGAATTTGGACTCTTTCATCTCCCCTTGCACGGAACAACAGTGTAATTAATCTATCACTGCTTTGGAGTTTGTTCTTTGTTATTGGCTTATGAAGAGACATTATTCTGTATACGATTGGCTTATGAAATTGTTATAATTCCCCACAGTGTGTGTTATATAAAATACTGGCAAAGCAATCACAGTCTCTGAGCATAATGTGCCACCCAAAACACCTACCATAATGCCTGGCATAAAATAAATGCTCAGGAAATCGTTGCTTGCTGAATGAGGCCCAAATTCCTGGCTCCTATTCCAAACCAGTCACAGGAAACTCTACTATTCTTTCCATTAAGTTCCTTTTTCAGCTTTACTGACCTGAACTTCCCGTGGATTCTTGATATAGCAGGACTATGGAACACTTGTAAATGTACTTTCTTTTAACCTACAGGCAAGCTGGATCCTACAAATGATGGACTCATAAAATCAACAGCCATATGAGGTTATTAAAAACCACCTGACATGTGGGCCACCCAGGGTTATTTGAATCAATCTGGCACTAAGAGCAGACTGGCCAAGGAAGACCTCGCAGTCACTAACTCAAAAAGAGGAGCAGTAGTCAGAATTTGGCTTTCAAAATTCTTACCACAGCTCATCTCATAGGGCAAACTAAGGGTTTAACACTATACTGTCTCTTTTTCATCCCAGGAGGTAGTTAATAGGCCAAAGAATTTTTTTACCTGGTAAGATATCAACCTTGGGGCAAAATCCAGACATCTGGGCAGTGCTAGAATATTAGGTAAATCTCTAATGTACTCTGACCAAGCCTGCACATAACTGAAACAAACTCCAAAACAGCTGGCCAGTTCCAAAACAGCTGGAAGTCTCCAACTTCCCCAGGCGACTTTCTCTTACTTGAAACGTTGGTGGCAGTGGAAGGGGGCATCCAGGAATCAGGACATGGACAGGGCAGAAACCATGAGTTGTTCTACTGCTTGTGGTTGGTCAGAAAGCTCAGCATAGGCCAGGGGCGCTGAGGTCATGTGCATCCTGGTGGGGTTCTAGCTCAACACCTCCAAACACACCCAAAGGCTTTCATGATGAGAAGTTCTACAATGCAACTTATTTCTGAAGTCAAAGTTCCTTCCTTCATGTGGCTAATGGAAGGAACAGAACTGCTCCAATCGGCTCTCACATGGCTTCCCACTGTACCAGGTACAATCAGGCAGTGGCAGGCAACAGTCACAGCCAGCGGTGTGAAATCAACTGAGGCCAGCATGGAAGTTAGATGAAAGCTCTGGCCTACAGAGGGACCCATCCTTCTCCCTGATTTGTAAACCCTAGTCCTTGGACTCCAAATTCAATCAGCCGCTTGCCTCCTTGAAAGAGCTCAAGCTGACTCGGCTAGCATTCCCGTTTCCTCACTCCCCCAGAGAAAGGCAGTTAATCAATGGCAGCATGGTTCAATGGAAAAAATACAAATTTTGACTTATTAGCTAATCACCTACTCTCTTTGAGTCTTGTTTTCTCATAGGTAAAACAGCGATAGTAAGAGCCATTTTACACAAGATAATGTCCTATCCCCCCACTGGAATTTTCTCAGATCAGATGACACTGGGGAAAAAGTGAGCCTTAGGACCTCTTACATGGAGCTTATAACTTGGAAGTTGGTCATGAGGCTAATTCTAGAGACCCAGTACCATTGGACAGGCTTTAAAACATAAATAGGAACATGACCTCAATATAATTCTTCAAAAATAAAATCAAAACCTACCAGGGCCCCCGTTTGAGGCACGAAAATACTAATTGCTTAGGTCAAAGGAGCCCAGTGGATTCTAAACCCAGTGAAACAGAAGGTAGTGTGTGCACCAGTGCAAGGTACCCAGCCTCTTGTATACTCACTGCACAACTGGCCTGAGCAAACACTCATCCCCAAAGTCAATGGATGTCTCAAGTCACAGGACTGTGTTTGAGTTAACACCCCACCCCACCCAAAGAGACAATTCATACAATGCCCATTCACAGCTGCTCTCCCAGGATGCAGCACTGGTCTTGAGAGAAGCTGGCATGCTCATTAAGTGAGCCACACTACATGGGATGTAGATGGGAGTATCCAAAGGAGAGAGGTTTGCTCATGCCGTTTGAGGAGTAAGGAAGGTGATGGCTCGAACACTGACACTGCCAGACATAGAATAAGCCTTGAGAATACAGAAACATCAAGCCAGCCTTTCCCCTCCAGCCAATACATTCAGAAATGCAAGAGCTACTCATACTGATTCAATGAGGGTAAAAAGAGTAGCAACTACACCCAGAAAAGGGAAGCACGGGGAAATAGCTGGTGGTCGTCAGCTTGCCTGCCTGCTATTCTCTCAGAGAAAGGCTGAGCTGCCTGGTTTACAAAATGCAGCTCTTCACATGCATGACCTGTAGGTAGGACAGGTGCTTCTAACCCCATTTACAGATTTGCAAGTTCTGAGAGCTAAAAAAAGTTCTGTGACTTGTTCCTAGTCACAGTGTCTTCTGAATGGACCAACACAGCTAAGTTCTCTATCTTACCCTTGATCACTATAGCAGGGGTGAGATCCCTTAACTACTTCCAAAAACATCTCCATACCCCCAGCACTTACTACAATGTCAGGCACATATTATGTACCGAATACATTTTAGCTGAATGAAGCAGATAGATGAATAAAGGACTTAAACACCTACTTCTTCCATCCCTTCCAACACACCAAAGAGGGAACAGCATATTTTCAAGGAATGCACTGTGCTCATCCCATGAGACCTCAGGAAAGCCAACATGGAAAGCAATACACTTCAAAGCCCCATATATTTTTTAGTGCCAAAATTGTCATTTTTGGCAACTGCAGTGATGATATCCTGTGATGAAGAAAATGCAATTGTTAAGAAATATTATTCAAAAAGGAGAAGTTTCAGATACTTGGCTGCATTTCCAGGAGGAAGGCTAAAACTGCCTCCAGACACAGCAATGATTTGAATGAGGCGGCTCCAGTTGGAGCACTTTCTGTATGCAGCTCTCAGGGATACATGGATAGCAAACTATGAAATAAAGTATTTTCAAAACACTGATGTTTCACTGTCGGCACAAAAATAAAATAAATTAAGAAGCCCGGTGCATTTTCCAGTCTGATATAAATTAATTCAAATGGCATATTTAAAATAGAGTCAATTATAAGTTTCTCTCATAAAATATTAAAAGGCAGCAATCAATCCTCAGATTGTGTAAGTGCAAAGGAATGGTATTTTCTCCATATCAAGACCCCTCAGTATCTGTAAGAATTGCCAGTGTTCCGAGTTGATCCAACACTTGGGCCTCCATCGTCCAAGCAAGCCTCTGGTCATACTGCTCCTTTCCCTTTAATGTCCATCCTGTTACTGGCCTCTGACTGTTTGCTCAGCTGCTCTTCAGAGAAAGTGATGTAGGAATACACCAGGCTCCCAGCAATGCTGCAAAACAGAACACCACCATCAGGGAGGAACAGAGGGATGGCAAATGTAAGGGAGGCTCGTGTGAGGCAGGAGCTGCCTTTATAAATTAACAGCACATAAAATTAAACTAGATACAGCATTTTCATCCACCATACTAGAGACACACCCTTATCATGGTGCTACCCACTGTTGTTGATGCTCTGGGAAAATGTCTGCACATACTAGCCAGCAGGAGTGCCAATTTTTATAATCTCTCTGGAAGACAATCTGAAATAAAAAACTTTAGAATTCTGTTTATCCTTTGACCTAGCTATCTACTTCATTAATGAACTGTGTACATCTTCATAGACTTACCAACTAAGTGTTTACCACAAATTTACAATACCAGAAAATTAGATAAAGGGTAAATGTCCCACGGTGGGGAATTATATAAATTCATACAATAGAATACGATGCATCCATCAAAATGATATAAAATAAAAACAGGCAATGACATCTTAAATGAAAAAATAATCTCACAAAACATTATTTAATCCTATTTTATTTAAATGAACATCAATATGAGGGCCGGCCGAGTGGCTCAGTTGGTTAAGAGCTCGCTCAAGAGTTTGAGCTCTGAGCAACAGCGGTTCGAGTCCAGCCCGAGCTGAGCAGCCGCTAAGCTACCAATAGGTAGCAGGATGGCTCAGCTAAAAAAAAAAAAAAAAAAAAAAAATGAACATCAATATGTGCATTGATATGCGTCAGTATGAAGCCTAGCAGGAACACAACAAGAATATTAAGAATGGTTACATCTGGATGGTGAGATTATAGGTGATTTTTTTATTTGTATTTTCTACATTTTCAAAAATAATCAAGACAAAGAAATGTTGTTTTTAATAAGTTATGAAACTCATCCCAATTAATAAGTAAACGTGCAGACCCTGGGAAATTCACAGAGTTGGTTTCTCTGACTAGAATCAAGTTCACAGGAGAGAACCTATCATCTGAGCCCTCTGCCTCTGCTTTGATTGCTGGTACCCCTCACGTGTGCACCACACCTCCCACCAGCAGGCTTCATTCTTTTTGGACACTGATTACTCTTATCTATTCTCTGTGGGGACCGCAAACCTTTTAGGATACACAGCTTCCTGCTTCAATCACTAAACTGCAAGTGAGGTGGAGCTCAGAAAGCCGATACCCTAGACTGCCCTGACCTGCTCTTCCACTGAGCCTGCTGCCCAGGACTCCCTTGGGCATCCAGCTGGCAGCCTGGCCTGAGCTCTGCTTTCAGATGTCTCCGCCCTGGGTTTGGCCCCTACCTTCTGCTTGACCACTTTCTGCTTGTTTAAAATTAGTTCCACTTTCCTCTGGGATGTGGCGTCCCACCCCCAGACCAGCTGCAGCAGCGTGAGAGATGCTGAGCTCCTGCAAATAAGGAAGCAAGATGGGGCATGCACAGCGCTCAGTGATCATATTATGACCGTTTATTAACGTCGACTATGTGCCAAGTATTTTACATACATCTCCTGCTATTGCAATACGCCTGCAAGGTGCTCATTTAGAGATGAAGAATCTGAGTCCCAGAGTAATAATGTAACTTGCTCAAGGTCACAAAGCATCTCGATGATAGACCAGAATGAAACCCAGGTCAGTCTGATTTTCTCTACTGAAAAGGCTTCCTCCACGATGGCCCCTGCTCCACTGGATATTGCAGCTGCCTGTCCTTATTTTGTCCCCATCAGCCTACAAAGGTTCCAAGGCCTTAGTCTTAGCTCTACAGAGTCCAAGCACAGGCCTGGCACTTTTCAGCACAGCACAGTAAATAACTGCTGAGCTGAATATCTGCTATGGCCCCATTCAAAGAAAAGATCCTCATTAATGCAATCCTTGTGCCACTATTCACAGCTTCGTCTTCTCCATCTGGTAGCTTTATTCCATTTCTTTATTTTTATTTTTTAGAATTTGATCTCTCTGACTCTTCTGGAAACTTCTTCTAGTGTATCAAGTGGATGATTTTCCCTGGTAGCTGGGCTAGCACCTAAAAAGGTGGCTTACTGTAGCCTTCCTGACTGAAGCTAAAATTCTTCAAGGTTCCCCTGTCCATCTACATGACAGTAAGTTTCCCTTTGCCTCCAACCCCACCCCCCAGCCCCCAACAGAGTGGAAGGACTGCACCTCCTTTCTGTCATCCTATCCTCCTCTAGATTCCCCCCATGACAACCTACAACATAACAATGCTCTCTCGTTTTTTTTTGCTGTCAAGACAACCTTTGATGCTCATATTAAACCAATTTCACCTGGACAGAAATAATGGAGTGATGCAGAATACAAGAAGACAAGGCATGCCCTGGAATTTTTTCCAGGCTTGGTCCTCACGCAGTCGAAAATCCGCACATTAACTTTTGACTCCCCCAAAACTTAACTAGTAGCCTACTATTGACTGGAAGTCCCGCTGATAACATAAACAGCCGATTAACACATATTTTGTGTATGTATTATATACACTGTATTCTTACAATAAAGTAAGCTAGAGAAAAGAAAATGTTATTTAAAAATTATTTAAAAATACATTTACAGTATTGTAAATATTTACTGAAAAAAATCTGCACATAAGTGGACCCGCACAGTTCAAACCTGTGCTATTCAAGGGTCACCTGTAAATTGCTTCCCAGCAGCTTTGGGAATGCAGGGAAACTGAGAAGAGGATGGAGAAAAGAAAGGGAAGAGCCCAGAGGGTTGTTGTTTTTTGGGGAGGGCCTGTATCTGAATTTTTATATATCCACTACCAAATGTTTCTGAACCAGGACCTTCTACTACTTCAAGAAAAAACAAGGTCTCATTAATCTACTGACTCCATACACATTCAAGTTAAAGTTGATGACTTCTGGTACTCCGGAATTCGTATTTACATATTTGACCATCCTAAATATTCATTTCTTAAAATATCAAGCAATTCTTCATCTGCCTAATATTCAAATCACAGTACTCCCAACTATTAATTCACTGAGACCTGTTGAGGCAGATACAGCCAGGAGATAAACAGAAGAAAAAGACAAAGCTACAGTGCCCTGCAGACAGGGGTCTAGTTAGAACACTGCATGGCTGACTGGGAAGGGCTGAACAGTGCTGCTTCCTCTGCTGTGATCCCCTTCTGACCCTCCAAAGCCATGCAAACACAACCTACCTCCTCGGCCCACAACCATGCACATGACTTACCAGCTGCAGACAATCAGAGAGCCATTCTACACACACATACTAAAAATGCCTTCAATAGAGCAACTTCATGGCCAGGAAACAAGAGTCCTAACGTCGGGGCTGTCTCCCTCTCTTCTGGTAGCTGACATGTTCATTCATATGCTTAACCTGGTGGCTATGCCTCATAGACTAGACCCTACCTTCTATATTCCAGATGTAAAATAAGTCAATCTACTCCAAAACCTATGAGTCAAGACAGTTGGACTTCTACTGCTATTTCCTAACATACACTTCTTGCCACATAATTTCAGCTGGGCTTCTGGGTACATTCTTCCTACAGTGACCAGGGACACTCACTCTTAACTCCCCACACAGCAGCTGCCAAGGAGCCTTTTCTCATCTTTCTCAACAGCCAAATAAAGCCAAGCTGTGTATTTATCACCATCCAGAGCTTTCCAATCTGAATAGACAGAAACACAGAGGTGACACAGGGTTGAGTAAACGGCATGTAACTTGTGGACTCAGACATTTACAAAGCTCTGTGATGTGGAACAAGTTACTTAACCCAAAGCTTTAGTTCCCTCATTTGCCAGTCTTATAGGACTGAAGTGAGAATTACATAATTTATTTATATAGCAATATATTATATAATTATGTTAAATTATATATTGTTACTAAATTATATACTTAAATTATATAATACATTAATTGAAATACAGTAGACAATCAAAAACACATCCAATAGGGATAAAAGTAAAAATACCAAGGGACATGAGGAGCTAATACTGCCAAAAAGCAAAGGGAAGAAAAGGGTTTGGGCAGTTGCTGCTTTCTCTCATCTTCATGGCTGTACACCCATTCACCCAGAAAATCAAGGGGTCCTAAGTATAGTAAAGCCTTCCTGATTTGGGTCATCCAAGTAGGCCTTATTTGTATTGTGAGTAAGTCTCCACTATTAGTAGTTTATTAGTCATTCTCAGCGCGTTTTCCTGGTTGGGTATTCATTTTTCCTCTGTTATGCGGTATTAGAGACCCCTCACCGTCAGGCACCAACCAGCTTTTCCAGTATGACCCTGTGAAATCCCTCGTACTCTAATCATGCTGGAGTACCTACTGCTCATTCCTCTAATGCCTACATTTCCAGCGCCACAGTTTTGCTCATGCAGTACCCAATGAGCGGAATGCCCACCCTTCTCTCTCCCACCTCTCCATATCCTACTCACTGGTCAAGGCGAAGCCTAAGTCTCCTCTATGAAGTCTCCCAAGCAACCTTCTGTGTGACTTTGGTTCCTGAGACTATCACAACCTGTATTACTGGTGCCAGTCTGGATAGCTACTTTGTGACACTAGTGCCATAATAACTGTTGAAAGCTCTTTTGAGAGAATGTATAAAAAAAGTGCCTCATCATTGCTATTATTAACGCCACATAGGTGCTTAATGTTATTATAAATGCTATGATGCTTATATAAATGACAGCCATTACCATTAACACAATCCTTTCATACTCCCCTTCTCCTTCAGTCTAATCGCAACACAGAGGCCAGAGTGATCCTGTTACAACGAAATCAGATCATGTCACTCCTCTATTCAAAATCCTCCAACGACTCCATATCTCTTAAAAGTGTGCCCCTCCACCCCATCTCATTCATTCACGCCACTCCTGCCACACTGGCCTCCTTGCTGTTCCCTGAACACACCAGGCACACTCCCAATTCAGGACCTTTTCACTTGCCCTTCCTTCCAGAAATCAATGTGGCTTACTCCTTCCATTTTTTAGGTCTTTACACAAAATGTAACCTCAGTAAGTGCTCCCACCCCCTGCAGTCCTCTGTATATCCCCTTCCTTGCCTTATTTTTCTCCAGTACCATTTGTCACAGCTAACATTTTCACCAGCAAACAGTTCCCTCATCATCTCTTCATTCATTTTCTGTTTCCTCTACCAGAGGGAACACTCCATAAAGGGCAAGGGTTTTGATCAGTTTTGATAGCAGCAGCTCTATCCTCACTGCTTAAAACGATGTTTGGTACCTGGCAGGTACCTACCATACATTTGTTTATGAATAAATGCATCTTCCCAGCTAGATTGTAAATTTCCTGAAGATAAAAATTAGTCTATGGCTTTGCATACATAAATAGTCACATCCTTTAATATGAGTACAGAAAGGGTTCAACAATTCTTATTCCTACCCTGCATGCAAAGGGAGACAGGAGAATAAAGACAAAAAAATCAGTGGTAAGGTAGGACCTAAGCGAGAAGACTTTGCAAATGTGCAAAACAAAGAGGGGCCATTTTAATCTCTTAACCCCTGTGCTCTCACAGGGCTAAATCGGGGGCATATTTTTATAGTCAGATCAGGGTTAGAATCTCAACTCTGATTCTTACTATGGAAGCTGTGTGACCTTGGGCAAGTTATTTTACCCCTCTGAATCTCAATTACATCATCATATGAACTAGGAGATGATTAAATGAGATGACACTATAAAGGTAGCCAACATTTACTAGGTACTCAACAACCTTTAACTTCCTATCTGTTGCCTTCCCAGATATCTATTTATGTCCTGTCTATACTCAGGTAAGTGTTGGTCTGTGCACATACTTTAAAAATAGGAGTACCTTAGTCACAGAAGTCTAGCCATGATGTGAACCATTCTATCTGCCTGGGAGTTTTAGGATAACCTAAATGGTGCAGACACTTCCAAAAACAGCTCGGAAATTTCTTATAAACATACACTTACCATACAACCCAGGAATTCCACTCCTAGGTATTTACCCCAAATAAAATGAAAACTTATGTTCACATACAAACGTTTTAGCAGCTAATAAAAAACAGCTAAAAACCAGACACTACCCAAATGTCTTTCAACTCGTGAATGATAAACTGTGAGATATTCATAATGGAATACTACTCAGCAATAAAGAGGTACAAATTACTGACATATGCAACAACATAAAGCCTCAAATGCAACATGGAATCTCAAATATAATATGTTAAGTGAAGGAAGTCAGACCAAAAGCTACATAATATTATGTATTCTTATATGACATTCTAGGCACTATGTGGATATGAAACAGATACTTATTAGGGGCAGAGGGTAGGGGAAGAGGTTCAATGAAAAGGGACATGGGGAGTTGTTTGGTGGGGGAGGTAAAACTATTTTATATTTTGAATGTGCTGTGGTAGTTATATGACTGTATGCATTTGTCAAAACTCATTAATCTGTACTCTAAAAGGGGTGAATTGTACCGTATTTAAATCTATATTATTATCTTTTTTAATAGAAGGAAAAAAGAAGAATCAAAGGTAAAGATGAGTTCCAGAGATCCTGAAAATTTCAGCCTGGGCAGGTATGAGGATGATGATGTAATTTTATCTGGAAAGGCTACCATTCTCAGGTCAAAACCACAAGCCAGAGCCCAGTCACTAACAGAAGTACAGACGCATACTCTGTCACCACCCTTCACTATTCATTCCTCACCCTCTCAGTCACTTTTTGGGGCTTGGATGAGCACTCCAGTAACTGGCCACTGGAAAAAGGCATTTAGGGGAGTTGGAAACAACCAGGCTCTCAACAGAGCCCTACTGAAAAAAGGGCCTCCTTAAATCACAGAATCAAATTTGGATGGAACTGAGAAGCTACCAATGCTAACCTCCTGCTTCCTGCACTTGAATCATACCAGACAGAAGGCTATTTAAACTTTTCTTAAAACCGCAAAGAAACTAGGCAGGAAGGAGGGGAGCTAGATGGATTTGGGTTTAATCATATACAATCCTTTAAGAATACAGTTCAATTAGTGACCTCTTTCAAAATGCAGTCAGTCAAGATGGAATGACACCATTTCTAGTCAAAGTAAAATCTAGTAAATAGCCACTAAGTTTGGTTTTTACATAAAAAAAAAAGTAACATGCACAACCTATGAGTCTGCTTACTAACTAGTGGAAGGTAAGAAAATGTAAACAATAAAACCATAATTTTCATTTTAAAGAGAAAAAGTGAAAAAAAAAACAGACTATGTATATATAATATTTTCCTTTACAAAAGCTGAAAATGAAAAGCACATGGAAATAGTATTTAAACAGGTCACCTGGATTCTAATCCCAAAGCTGAAAATAAATTAAATGCTGACTGGCTGACTAAAATACATCACTTATTCACCACAGCCTTATAATAAAACAGGTATTAAAGAGATATGGCATGTAAATTTTATTACAATAAAACATGATATCAATTAGTAATTATTAAAAGTATTACACTGGGAGAATTTTCAAGATGTTGGTTTGATACACATTAGGCTGACACAGGTTGTAACATTCCAACATACTGAGGCACTTAAAAAAGTTATTTTGAATAGTCTTCAATGTGAAAAAAAGATACCTAATCTTTCTTCTAAGATACTATGTTATAAGAGATTTGAACTGCAGGGATCTGAAAATGCAAACAGAAGCTTTTACTTCTTCTTGGCTATTGGGTTATTTATTTGAAGGGGACAAAAAGAAAACGACATCTGAGTCACGTCTATGTAGTGTCATAATGATTCTTTAATCCAGGTTTTTAGAAATCAATGAAACTTAGGCAACATCCAAAGTCAGAACTAGTTCACCATGTTGCTCCTTATATCTTGGCCCTTTCTCACAAATATTTATGAAAGAAACCGATATTTACTAAGCCTAGATGTCAAGCAGTGAATTAGGTACTTTACATTCAGTAAATCATTTCATTCTAACAACTCTAAAGAGATAGGCATTTTCATCCCCAACACATAAGAAAACTGAAGCTCAGAAAAGATAAACAACTAAATCAAAGTCACACAGATGGCAAGCATCACACCTGCAACTCCAAACAAGGTCTGAAACTCAACTACTAATCATCCTTCTATAATATGCAATGCTAAGGTATACATGTATACTCGCCCTCTCACCAACTCCTACCCCCTCAAATAACAAATGACTTTTCCTCTAAAAGACAAATAACAATAGATGTCAAGGAAGAGGCAACAATGAATTATTAACCTATTAGAATTAGTGTTAAATTCTCCTATTGATCTATAAGGAAGGTAGAATAGGTATTATCATTTATTTATATTTCAGGGAATAAAAGTTCAAAGAGGTTATACAGTTTGCTGCAAATTAAAAAGATGATACTACTACCATATTCTAGTACAGAACTTTGTTTCCAAAGTGCTTTTTTACCAATCCATGTAGAATTCATCAAGCAAATATTTATTAAGCAACTACCAGGATTCATTCTAGGAGCTTGGGAAACTTGAGTGAACAAGATAGAGATCCCTACTCTCACAGAAGTTACATTCTAGCAGGGGAGACAGAAAACCGGCAATAAATATAAATAAGCAAATTATATAGTATATTAGAAAGAGATAAGTGCTCTGGAAAAGATAAACACAAAAGCAAAATAAAGAGCGTATGAGAATATTAGTTGTGGAAGAGCAGCAGGCTGCAATTTTAAATAAGGTAGTCAGGGTAGACTTCTTTGGGAAGGTAACATGAGCAAAAATGTATAGGCAGGCATAAAGGAGTTAGTCATGTAAGTATCCGGCAGTACAGTGTCCCAGGTGAGGAAATAATCTGTCCCAAAGCCCTAAAGTGAGAGCGTCCCCAGTACCTAAAAGAACAGCAAGGAGGTCTGTGCGGATGAAGTGGAGTGAGGAAGAAGAGAAGCAGGAGCTAAAATTGGAGAGCCATGGGGCGGGAGTGCAGGGTAAAAAGAAGAGTGACATCTTCTGACTTAACCTTCTACAAGGAATACACTGTCTACTCTGTTGAGAATTGCCTGGGGGATGGGGGTGGGAATAAGTCAAATCAAGGACAAGTACAGAAGACAAGGCAGTAATCTAGGCAAGAGATGCTGGTGGCTTAGATGATGACGGGAGCAATGCAAACGGTAATATATATATATATATATTTTTTTTCCCCCTGGATATATTCTGAAGGTAGAGCCAACAGAATTTGCTAACACAACGGATATTCGGTATAACACTAAACAGTCCAGGATGACGCCAAGGTTTTTGAACTGAAAGGCTGGAGTCTCCATCAATTGAGATGCAGAGGCTTTGGGTGGAACAGACTTTGGAGGAAATAAAAAGAGATCAGTTTTGGACACGGCAGCTGGAGATGTCAAGTGGCCTCTTACATATACAAGTCTGAGTTCAGGACAGGGGTCTGGCACAAGTACAAATTTGAGAATTTGTAAGCATATAATTATATTTAAAACCATGATACTCAAAATTTTGAACTGAAAAAGATCTTTTGTACAAGACACCCTCATCATTGATGAAAATAAAGTCTAAAGAAATGCAGTGATATGACCAAGGTCAGACACATATAAAGCATTTCTAACAGAGCTGGTACTCTTTAGCTCTGAATTTTCTTGAGAGCTATACTGCCATCTAGGATAATAAATAACAACTTATTTTTTTGAAGGCTAAATAAAAGAAATTCAACTTCCAGAAAAGATTCCCCAAATACTGTACATAAAATATGGAACAATTTTCTCCCACTTTCTTAAAAAGCATTATCTAAGGATATTAAATATAATATACTGTAGGCACTCCATAAATGTTTGTTTAATAAAATAAACAAATTTACCATAGCCCAAACTTACTGTGACATAATTTGAATATCTAAATTCCACTTGTCGAAGTGGTTACATTTAAATATTTTCACTTACCTGATATTTAAGCCAATGAAGTTTGTCCACGTGAAAATATAATCTCCACCAAAGACCATTCCAATATAAGTTATTAGTATATTCTACACAAAAGGAAATACATTGTTACATAGGTTTAACTGAGCTTTTTCATTATTCATATAAACATTCACACTATAACCCAAATGCCTATCCTTAAAATACAAAAACAGACAGACAATAACAAAGACCCACCAATCCTAAAATGAGCTGCAGTTTGAGCAAGAACACCAATAAGGAAACAACGATATTAGCCTCAGCCCAGTCTCTCTCTCAGCACACTAAATGCTTTCACCAATACTGAAAAGTACTAAAAATTATCAAGCCTCCTCTGTCCCGTGGTATGGGCTGACATGATAAACCTAAATAGAGAAACACTGCTGTGACTAGAGGTAGGAAACATTGAGGCACAATTAACAATTGTAGAAAAGATAGCTTTTTCCTCCCGTTAACTGCTGACTTGTGAGGGGAGAGTGAAGGGAAAGCTTGCTTATGTGCAAGAGTCTTTCCCTCATTTTTGAAAACTATAAAGGAGACAATGGGGGGGGAGGGGTTTACCAACATGAAGACAAGTTGTTAGAGGAATCTTCCTTGGTACTTTAAAGAAACACATGAGAAGTCATCTCAAAGTAGCATCCCTAAAATCACCTCTTCTGACTCCCCTAAACTCCCACATGTAACCATCTTCTGCTTATCTGGCTCCCTTCTAATTATCCTCAGACCACAAGGGTGAAATAACATTTTTCAAAGCTTAAACTATTATTCAGTCTTCCTGAATTTCCCTTCTTTCACATTCAGAAGTCACTGCCTCCCTTCTCTGCTTCTACAACTGACATAAACGGTAAATGCCACGAACATTTTTAGTACCTGGGCTCCTGGATTAGGCCTGGGAAGAAGAAAATAAAGTGCTCTAGTGTTTCAAAAACAAACTTCAAAATTATTTTTATAATGGAGTGCCCTTTGAGCATTCAAAATTATGTCAGCCTCTTCTAAGTCTATATATAGCGTGTGCAAGTTACCTTAGAGCAGATCTTTGTTATTACTTGAGGGGGAAAAATAAAATGAAGTACCACGTAACTGTAGGCAACCTGGGCAAATGTACAGCAGGACCTCTCTTGGAATACAGAGATCCAGGGTGAAGGTGGATTATTTTGCACAAATTGCCCAAGGAACTTCAGAAAGGGAAAGAAAGGCTAGAGAGCCTATCCTTATTGAGCAAAACCAATCAGAAGTTAGAAAACCTGGGCCGGCCGAGTGGCGCGATGGTTAAGAACTCGCTTGGGATGCCAGAGGGCCCCGGTTCGGATCCCACATATGAGGGCCAGTGACACTGCCCTCCACAGCTAAGATGCTGAACAACAGCTCAACCTGGAGCTGGGCTGCCATGAGTCGCCGGCGACGGCGTGGGCTGCAGTCCCTGTGGCAGTGGATTGCCATGGGCTACCGTGTGTGGCCAGCAGCCAGCGTGAGCGGCCAGTAGCCGCAGTGAGCGGCTGTCCAGAAGCCGGCGACTGATCTGCCTCGCCAGAGAAGAGCGCAATGATGGTGCCAACTTGGGCCAGTGAAGCAACATCCTCCACAACTAGATTGAAGAACAAAATGACAGCAACTTGTCTGTTCCCCTTTCCCCAATTCCCCAGCACTGTTCCCATCCCCCCAATTCCCCAATAAAAATCTTAAAAAAATAAAAAAATAAAAAAAAAAGAAGTTAGAAAACCTGTAAGTATACATTAGGGCATTCTAACCAAGGTTTCCTATCGGGAAAAGACACCAATGCCCCCAAAGCAGAACCAACCAGGGAGCACAGAAGAGTTTCTGTTGGTAGCTCAAAGCTAAGACTGCAATTCTCAAACTTTACTATGTCTGAGTATCATCTGGAAACCTTGTTAAAAATGATAATTTCCAGGCTCTACTTTAGAGATTCTGATTCAGTGTATCTGAAACGGGCCTAGGAACTTCCATTTTTAACCAGTTATCCTAAGTAATCTTCCCCACCACACAGAAAAGAAACAAAGAATGCTGAGCCAAGGGTTTGTAGGGTTAGGCTCCTCAAGCACACAAGGAAGCCTAAAGCCTCTTGAGGAACCATACCTGAGCTAAAAGGTCTTTAACCTGAGGCTAATGAAAAAAGCCCTCCTGTGGCCTAGGAGGCCCCGAAACAGCAGGGCATGAGTGTGCCCCCACCTGTCAGAATGTAGGACCCGCACCAGCGATGCCACATGGCCCTGAGAAGCAACAGCGACTGTAAACTAATCAGTTCCCCTCCCTCTAGAAAGTACAACTTATCCCTTTGCTCTAAGTCCACAGGGTTCTGGGTGGTGGGGGAAATATCAAAAGACTTTTGTACTGAACTTTATGTTAATGAGGACAGGACTTTATTTGTACCCCATGCTGATAACGATAAAGAAAGTACACTAAGAAATTCTAAGCAAATAGATTTAGTTACTAACATTAAACATAGGCTTTCCCGCACCATCCTTCTTGGCTAAATGGCACCTACTGCCTTGTCTCTCATGTTCTTGCTATTCCTATTTTGAAGATGGAAGCCATCCATTTTGCTCTTAAAGCATTTACATTACAAAACTGAAACAGAGCTGAGAGCTATTTTGGGAGGCTACATCAGTCTCAGCCAGCCCAGGCCTTTGTCTAGATAGGGAATTGACACAACTGACTTGTTATAGCTTAATTTAGAATTCTATTCACACTGAACACTCCAATTGCATGATCTGAAGTCACAGACCTTCTGAAGTTTAAACCCAAATCTAGTTTTAGTTTCTAAAATAAGGTCAGGTGGACACCACTCCATTGGAAGTGCAATGGGAAATATAGCAGAATGATAGAAACTTTACCTCTGCAACTCCTCCCCTCACTATTGACAAATGGGACATCATAAAGGAAGTCCCAAGAGCAACTGTACTTTTTCCCCCAAATGATCGAGGACCTACCTCTCTTTGTTTTACCTTTGTTAGAAAGCAAGCCTACCCTGCTAATCCATTTGGAAGTTAGACATACTGTGGCCTGTTGGATCTCAAAGCACTAGAATCACAAAGTCAGATAAAAGAGACCTCAGGCTTTAAGCCACTAACTTCAGTTCAACATTCAAGTCAATTTGGCTCTCCTGGCGGAAGACAGATGAGCCTCCCTCAAATAAAATGGATCAGGAGGAAATGACATCACTGGAAATGTCAGGCACAGCTTTTCAAAGTGGGCCATTTAAGGTTTGGCTCAGGGATAGGAAAACTCTCTTGATTAGTTTCTGGCAGGCATCCTTTCCCTGCAGAACAGCCAGAACTCAGTGAGGCAGAGCACAGTTCTCATTAGGGGTTACAGGGACAGACGTCTCACTACCGAGCTAGTCATCTGCCCTGTTAGAAACAGGCCTACATCTTCCTCTACTCTAAGATGACATAGTCTCCTTTTTCCATACCTCTCAGAGCTAAGCTGCCTGAAAGTAGACAGTATGCCCTCCCTGAGCTCTTAAAGACTGTTTCAGAAACCATCACCACAATTTGTCAAACTATCAAAAAAATATGTGAGGAAATACAGATTATGGGGCTTAAGGCCACAACCAGACTTATTTTAGAGGAGCAATTTTCAAATAAAGCAGGTACCCAAAAGACAACAGTATTTTCTCAGCTCACCTTAATACAGCCAACTATTGTAGTTGTCAGAGCAGAATTATACTGAGTGCAGAGCACCGTGGCATACATTAAGATAAACCTGGAACGAAGACGGGAGACATATTTTGTAAGACCCAGCCGCTTACTTTTTAATACTCTCTAGCCAAGAGAAACAATCAAGTGTTGGCCATTTTAACACATTCTAGTCACTGAATGTGAGCTTTCCCTACCTCACTGCTGCTTGTACTACAGCTTCAGGCTTTCAAAACTTTCATTAAAAAGAAACACATGTCCATTTACTGACCAGGCGTTTTTCCCAGCTAGCTTCACCAAAACCTGGAAACCATCATTCATAATCTTGAGTACTGTGTTTGGATCATATTCCTACTAATTCACCTAATCCAGACAGAAAGCTCCGAGCTCACAGACCCTGGCTCAGGTGTGCACCTCCCATTAGGACAATATAACCTCTGGACCAGGGTGAAGGCCAAGAGAGATTCTTAAGGATGGAAGAAACCCAAATTAGAACTACTTTAAGAGGCTTACTTAATAACTACGTGGCAGCAGTTGGAACTCCCAGATTTACAATGAGGATTCTGAGTACTAAGCACTCAGTACTAAGGCACCATGCCAACTTAACTTTGAAGCACTCACTATGTACCAAGCCTGAATCAGATCCAGTCATAAATATCAACTGAACCGAGTGGTTGGGAAAAAAAAAAATGGAGGTGAAGAGGCAAATTTGCAGATACCCTCTAGCCTTCTCCATTTACTCTTCTAAGAGGAAGACACCTGGTAGTGGGGAATCAACCAGCCCCAAATTCAAGGGCTGCCACTACCATCTATCAATTGTGCAAACCTAGACAATTTACTTGAGTTCTGACCCTGCTTTCTCATAGGCAAAGGGACAACAGTATCTACCAAATGGTCAATGTAGAAATAAAATAAAATAATGCATGAAATATAATGGTGAGAAAATAATGTTGAAATATAATGGTGCTTATCACATTCTAGGTTATTGGATAAATATTAGTTTTTCTCCTTCCTTCTAAGCATGACTTTGGGATCAGTTTAGTTGCCCTGAGGGCACATTGCCAAGGGCTATGAAAAAACCATCTGAATCTGAAGGTTTAATTATCCTAAGTTGATACACTCAAGAGATAGAACAGGATACTAGGAATGAGGCAAAAGGGTGCTAGAGCACATTTCTCTAGGAAAACTATCTGCTAACAAGGTGGCAAAGGCTTACCCCATCACACAAGAGAGGGTGAACTGCAGAAGAAAGAGGGTGTCAGCCCAGCCTTCAAAATCCATTGCCTGTAACATATGAGAAAGCATTCAATTTTAGAGCAGGCCCTCACACATACACATACATACCTCTCCCCGCATCCCTAAAAAGATACAGGTGTTCAAAAATTTTATATATACGTGGAGTTGAACCAATAAGCAGTTTCAGAAGGTTTTCTTCTTTTGATGATGCAATGTGAGGGAGATTTTGTACTTCTCCATGTGGGTACAAAGAAACTAGCATTTGCTTGAAGGCACAAGCACATCCGGCAAATCTCAGCAGCTCTCCCAGAGACTAGTTTTAAAGGCTTCCTAAGACATTAAAACATACTTCCTCACTGTAACACGAGAAATCTCAAGTACAGCTTTAGTTACATAAATTCAGCTAAGGTCTGTCCAGGGAGAATTACACTTTTAAAATAGCTGATTGTAAAAGCAAGGGTTTTGTTGTTTCTTTTTAAGCCCAAAGCAAAGGAATGGAGGGGACATGAATGAGTGCCATGAGTCACCTCATCTTTCATTCAGGAGGGAGAATTTCTCTCTCAAGTACATACTTTTTCTTGCAATATGAGTTTGATAAGTAAATCTGAGAAACATTCCAACTTTGACCTCTCTGCCAACTTGTCCAGCTTCAACTCTGACACTTCGACCTAAATCTCACAACTCCAGGGCTCTGGCAGTCCTGGGCTCCTTGTGGTTTACAAAACGTAACATGACTTTCACACTCACGTGCCTTTGCCTAGAAAGCCCTTCTCCTCAGCATTTATCTGACTCACGTCCACCCATCAAACTAAAGGTCAAGCAGCTCCTCTGTGGGGCTTTCCCTGATCGAGAACTCCTTCCTTTGGACCTCAGCAGATATAGATCTCTACAAGGCTCTTCTCTTTCTGAACTGTAAGTCTTTCTGTGCCATGTCTACAGACTGGGAGCTCCCTGGGGGAAGGACCAACATCACATTTATCTAATCCTATTCCTAGCATTTGACAGGCGGTGGACATTCAGTTTGTTTATGGTTATTTCTTTGCTGAGGAATATATCAAAAATAAAGTTTACCAATTTTAATTGTATAATTCAATGAGTTTTGACAAATTTATATAGTCATGTAACCACCATTACAATCATGATAAAGAAATTTCGGCTTAAAACTACATATAAAACTCCTAGAAGAAAACATAGACACTGGGCTTGACAGTATTTTTTTTTGGAAATGACACCAAAAGCACAAACAATAAAAGCAAAAATAAATAAGGAGGAATACAGCTAATTAATTGGTTTCTGCACACTAAAAGAAACAATAAACGAAATGAGAAGGCAACTAAATGAATGGGAAAAAAACATTTGCAAACCACATATCTGACAAAGGATTAATACTAAAAATCTGTAAGAAACTCATACAACTCAACACCAAAAGAAAACAAACAACCTGATTAAAAAAACGGACAGAGGAACTAAATAGTCGTTTTTCTAAAGACATATAAATGGCCAACAGATACATGAAAAGGTGCTCAACATTGCTAATCACCAGGGAAATGCAAATCAAAAGCACAATGATATATCACTTCACACCTGTTAGAATGGCTGTTATCAAAAAGACAAGCGATAACAAGTGCTGGCAAGGGTACAAGGGAACCCTCATACGCTGCTGGTAGGCTGTAAATTGTTACAGCCGCTATGGAAAACAGTATGGAGGATCCTCAAAAAATTAAAAATAGAACTACCATATGATCCAGCAATTCTACTTCTGGGTATACGGCCAAAGGAAATGAAATCAGGATCTCAAAAAGATACTGCATTCCCATGTTCAATGAGGAATTATTTACAACAGCCAAAATATGGAAATAACCCAGGAGTCTATTGAAGAATGAATAAAGATGTTACATACACACACAGGAATATTATTTAGCCATGAGAAAAAGGGAAATCTGGCAATTTGCAATAACAAGAATGGAACTTGAAGGCATTATGCAAAGTGAGACAAGTCAGACAGAGAAAGACAATCACTTTATGATATCGCCTATATGTGGAATCTAAAAAAGCCAAACTCGGAGAAGCAGAGAGTAGAATGAACGGTGGTTGTCAGGGGCTTAGGGGTGGGGAGATGTTGGTCAAAGAATACAAACCTCCAGTTACAAAATAACTAAGTGCTGAGGATCTAATGTATAGCATGGTGTTATAGTTAACAATATTGTATTGTATACTTCAAAGCTGCTGAGAGTAGATCTGAAATGTTCATATCACAAAAAAGAAATGGCAATTATGTGATGTGATGGAAATATTAACTAATGCTACCATAGTAATCATTTTGCAATTTGTAAATGTATTAAATCAATATGTTGTACACTTTAAACTTACACAATGTATGTCAATTGTATCTCAGTAAAGCTGGGGAAAAAATACTTACCACCCTAGAAAATTCCCTCTTGCCCCTTTACAGTCAATCCCCTCCCCTTATTTATAGCCCCTGGCAATCTTATATCTATTGATACTTGACTTGTACATTACCAAAGTTTTGCTACTCAACAATTTCATATACATGGGATTGTATAGTATATACTCTTTTATGTCTGGCTTCTTTCATACAGCATAATGCTTACGAGATTCATTCATGCTGTTGTGTGTATCAGTAATTCATTCATTTTTATTCCTGATTAGTATTCCAGCTGATGGCTCTACTACAATTTGTTTAGCTAGTCACCAGTCAATAGACATTTATTTGGGTTGTTTCCATGACTACTTGTTATGAATAAAGCTGTACTGAACATTTGAATACAAGTCTCTCTGCGGACGTTTTTATTTATCTTGGGTAAATACCTAGAAAATGGGATGGCTGGTTCTTTTAGTAAATATATCTTTAGCTTTATAAGAAACTTAAACTGTTTTCCAAAGTAGCTATATTTTGTATTCCCATCAGCACTGTATGGGAGTTCTCATTTTCCTACATTCTCACTAACACTTGGAACTACGGGGGTGCCAAAAAAATGTACAACATGACTTCTATTCATCTTTTGTTATCATTATATATTGTTACAATTTTAATACAGGTTTTTCCCTTCTTAAAATGTGTATACATTTTTTTGGCACCCTCTGTATTTGAGACAACTCTAGTAAGTAAATGGTATTTCACTGTTAGTTTTAATTTGCAATTCCCTAGTGGCTAATGAGGTTGAGCATCTTTTAATGTGCTTATTTGCCCATCAGCATTGCTTCTTTGGTGAAGTGCTGTACAAATCTTTTCTAAATTTCATTCAATTTATTTATTTGTCTTCTTATTACTGAGCTTTTTGTTTTGTTTTTTTAATATATTCTGGGTACAAGTCCTTAATGAACTACATATGATTATGCAATTATTTTCTCCCAGTTTGTGGCTTGCCTTTTCATTCTCTCAATAGTGTCTTCTGAAAAAAAAAATAATTTTGGTTGTAGTCCAAGTTATCAATTTTGTCGTGTATAATTCTTGCTATTATGACTTCTCTATGAAACCTGGTTCTAACCCAAAGTCACAAAGATTTTCTCCTACTTTTATAGCTTTAGCTCAAACTTAGGTCTATGGTCCTTTCTGTATTAATTGCAAGGGCTGCTATAACAAAGTACCACAAAGGGAGTGACTTAAACAACAGAAATTAAATGTCTCACAGTTATAGATGCTAGAACTCCCAGATCAAGGTGTTAGCAGGGTTGATTCCTTCTGAGAGCTGTGAGAGAATCTGTCCCAGGCCTCTCCCCTAGCCTCTGGTGATTTGCTGGCAACCTTTGGTGTTCCTTAGCTTATGGAGGCATCACCCTGAGGTATGCCTTCATCTTCACATGGCAGTCTCTTTATGTGACTGTCTGTGCCCAAATTTCTCCTTTTTATAAGGACATCAGTGATACTGGATTAGGGGCCCACCTGACTACAGTATGATTTCATCTAAACTAATTAATATATATAAGTATATATATTTTTATATATTGACCTTGTATCTTACAACTTTCCTACACTAATTAATTCTAATTACTCTTATCCAGATTCTTTAGGATTTTTTACATATGTAATCATGTTTTTTATAAAGACATTTTTACTTCTTCCTTTCTAATCTTGTGACTTTAGTCTCTTATTCTTATCTTACTGTACTGATGAGGTCCTTCAGTATAATGCTGAATAGAACATTATATGAGGGCAGATATACCCACCACCTTGTTCTCAATCTTAATGAAAAGGTATTTGGTCTTTCAACATTATGTTAACAATAAATTTTTTTTTGGTATATGTCCTTTATTAGATTGAAAAAAAAATATATATATATACACATATATCTATGTATATGTATATATATGTATGTGTGTGTATATATATATATTAAATTATAGTTGACGTTCAGTATTATTCAGCTTCAGCTTCAGGTGTACAGCGCAGTGATCAGGCATCTACACAGTCCATGAAGTAGTCCCCCTAATAAGACAAGTGCCCATCTGACACCTTACAAAATCTTAACATTATTGATTATATTCCCCAAAAAGCTATTGCTTATTAAGTACTTATTATATTCCAGGCTCAGGAATGTTAAGTAACTTTCACATATGTTAAGTAATTATCCAGCTAGTAAGTACCTATTCAGCTCCATAACCTATCATCTTTCTATCTGTACTACTGGGGAAAACCAAAGACAAGGCAGTATATTCTAAATTTTTTCTCCTATATGGCTCCACATGGTTGTTGTTATTGGATCACCGAGTCAAAAAGTGGGAGTTCTAATTCTAACTCTTCCTTTAGTTGCCTGTGAGGCCATCATTGACATTTAACCTCTCTAAGCCTCTACCTATATTACAATTATAGAAAAGTGTCTGGTCCATCTGCCTCTTGTGAGAATCAAATTAGAGAATGAAATGCAGACACTTTAAATATATACAAAATGTACATACAGAAGAGATTATTATTCACTTAAACTTCCACCCCTGTTATCTCTCAGTAATAAGATTCGCAAATGAATTTTTCTTCTCCCTATGATAGAAGGCACAGTGAATAAAAATAAAAAAAAATTAACACTCAAAAC